ATGATACTAAATCAGCACTAGCTATTATGATGTCTTGTTTTCTCCAAAAATAGCTGTTTCTACCATCCAATCTTCTCTGCCTCATTTCAAGTTATGTTTTTAATGTTATGTGTGAAATACTTTATTTTGAAAAAATTTTAAGTATTTGTAGTATTTTATTTTGAAGAAGTTTTTTTTTTTAATTTAAGGAGAAAAGAAAAAAAAAGCAGAGAAAGGGTACAAGTTATACAGATTTACAGAAAAAAAACAGTAGGAAATCACTAGTTAATGGATTACATATTGTCATCTTAGAAATAATTGTTCAAGTCACAAAATTACAGCTTGTAAAGTGGACATTCGAACAATGATACTGCAAACAGTTCTGTTCAATGATCCAATAAAACTCTGTGATATCATTTTCTATCTTATACACTTAAATATACATGCAGTTATATAGTTTAGAGCACTTTCTTTTCCTCTTTTTTGTACAATGACTGTTACACATTTTGGGTTTCATTGCTCCCACGGTTCTTAATACTTTTTTGGAAGAGAGTAAAACCAAATGTGACATAACAGAACAGAATCGGTCAAGTCAAGAGGGTGGACATAATAGATAATGTAAAAACATAATACAAGGTGATCAACAATGGTTACCATAATGCCTCCCTCTATCTCTAATAGAATTGCCTATATCATTAGTTATAATACGATTGAACAAAACAGTAAAGAATAAAACTGACAAAACCAAAACATTGGAGACATTGTAGGTCTTCAAAAGTAGATAAAAGTCAACGAGAATGGGCATTATAATGAATCTCATTATCTTCACAGCTGACACCTAAACTTTCGAACCTGATACTACCCAGCAAAACAGAATAGGGGAACATCAGTCAAAAACAAGATGGTGAGAGTAATACAGGGCTTTAAATCGAGATAATGGAAAGTCAAAGTGGGTTACTATAATATATCCTGCTCTTTTTTTTCCTTTAATTAAAAGGATAAAAATAAAAAAGTAAATAATGGAGTGGAAATTGAGATAAAAGAGGGCATAACAGCGAAACAGTGCAGATCAAAACATAACCATTTAAGCAGAATAGTGTTTCACCACAAGATAATCCTGACCTAAAAGTAGTTACCATATTGTCTCTTTCCTTGAAATCCTTGACTACAACTTCGTATACTGTAGCATTAAGTATATCAAAACAATGTAAAACCATTCAAGAGAATGACAGCATTACAGAGTATTTACAATCGACTAACAGAAAATGAACAATGGTTTCTGTATAATCTCCTTGTCTTTAAAAGGTTTTTGCTTATACTATCGTACATAATAAAATCCAGTAAGATACAACCTATTTAGACCATTGGAGACAGAAGAACAAAAGCTAGATGAGACTTCAAAACAAGATGATACTAAATCAGTATTACCTATTAAGATGTCATTTTCTCCAAAATAGCTGTTCCTATCATCCAATCTTCTCTGCCTCATTTCTGTTGAGCTCTTTTTCTGTCAGTAGCTGTCAGTTTGTCTTCTTCATTTTGTTCTCTGCTCCATTCGTTGTGGCCTCCCCGCCACTATTTCTGGATTCTTTGTATTTTTCTTTTTTTAGAATATCCTGCAATACTCTCTGTAGAGTTGAATTGGTGGTTGCAAATTCCCCCAGTTCCTCTTTATCCTGGAAGCACCTTGTTTTTCCATCAATTTCCAGGGACAGTTGTGCAGGATATCTCAATCTTGGCTGGAGATTATTATCTTTCAAAGCTTGAATTATTTCCCCCCACGCTCTTCGTGATTTGATGGTTTGTGCAGAGAAATCTGCTGTAATTCTGATGGGCGTTCCCTTGTAAGTGGTCTATTTCTTGTCTCTGACAGCTTTTAATATTCTGTTCTTGTATTGAATTTCTGGAATTTTTATTATTATATGCCTGGGTGTTGCTCTGTTTGGGTTGTAGGTAGCTGGGGTCCTGTATGCCTCATACATCTGAGTATCTTTACCTTTTGCTAAATTAGGAAAATTCTCCTGGATTATTTCTGTGAGTAGCTTTTGTAGTTCACTTGTTTGTGTCCCTATTTCTTCTTTTATGTTCTTAATCCTTAAATTATGGATCCTCTTATCATCTTCTTGTCTTTGTATTATTGCTGTTTGTTTCTTTGTTATTTTTAAGAAGTTTTTCATTTCATTCTCCCATATTACAAGTCTGCCCTCCAGTTCAGATAGTCTGTCCTTAGTTTCTTTCAAGCTGTTATGCCAGTCTTCGATAGACTTCTTAGTTTTTTGGTAGTCCCTTTGAACCTGCTTCACGTATTCTATGCTTTCTCTGTTTTCTCCATCAAACAATTCTCCCCTCTTTTTCTGTTCTTTCATTCCACCATCTGTTTTTTCTTGGGTGGTGCTTAGCATTTCTCTAACTATTCTGCATACTTCTAGCTTCAGGTCATTGATAACTTCATTCCTGAATTGATCTATGAGGCTCTCTATATGGCGCTTTATGTCTATTGGTGCGGTGTCCGCTATTGCCTGTTTCTCAGAATTGGGGGCCGAGGAGCCTTTCTTGTTGCTGCCTCTTCCCATATTCTCTGTTCCTTATATATGCAAGCTTATATAGGAGACCCAGCTTCTCTCCCTGTCAGCCACAGCCTGATCGAATTGCGCCGGTTAGGTGTTCCCGCCCACCGCAGCGCACCAGGGAGTTACGGACCAGGCAGCCTATGCGGGGCCCGCCCATCCCGGCCACTGTCAGGCTCTGGGATCTGGGTTGGGCCAGACTACCGGGTCCGCCAGCAGCGTCACACAGGCCAGGCACTTCTCACCAATCCCGCCCGAAAGGGGGATGTGTGGCTGGAGTTGCCACCGCGCCCTGCTTCCGCAGGACTGCCCGGGCCCAGAAAGTCCTCCGCTGGAGTCAAACTGTGGTAGAGTGTCAGTTTCTCTCACTCACCTCACCACAAGTCAGTGCACACCTCCCTGCCCGTCCTGTTTTCGACTCCGTTCGCAGATTACCGTTCTCAGAGCTTCCGCGCGTCTCCCTCCTTGCTGAGCCTTGCTGTAGAGGCAGTCGCCGCATGGCGGGAAACCCAAATCGCGGCTTCCAATGGCGCAGGGTCCAGCCTCCACACTGAGGCTTTTCTGTTCCTGTTTTAGCACCAGGACTGCATTGCACGTTGGTTTCTCTCAGCCCAGTTCGTTCCTGAGTCAGCAGTTTATATCTCCACCTGCTCATGTCTCCTTACTCCGTACCCTTCCTGACTTCTGAACCAAGCCTTTCAGAGAGCCTCCGTAGTATCTGTTATCTGTCCACCATGTTCTCCCAGAAGTCTGAAGAAGTTTTAAGTATTTGTAGTCTAGTTTGCTTTCTCTCAAGAGTTTTTTTGGTCAAATAAAAATGTTACCTACTTTGGCACTATAAAATATATTTTTCTTTTTATTTTCATTTATTATACTTATATATTTTCTATTTATATGTTCTTTTTCTTTTTGGGGTTTTTTGATACCAGGAATTGAACCCAGGATGACTTGTGCTTGCCAGGCAAGTACTGTGCCACTGAGATATATCCCTAGTCCCTACAATTATGTCTTGAATGTGAGAAAAGAAAGGATATATTTTTTTCAAATGGTTAACCAGTTTTACTTCAGTATTGCTGAGTAATGCATAATCTGTTTATTTTATTTTAATTTTTTTAGTTTATTAAAGTTTATTGGTATAATTTATATAGAATAATCATATTCATTGTAGGAAATTTGTATCTGTACATGATATATTTTAATTCCTCTTTTCTCCCCATTCCTTTTCCTTCCTTTCAAACTCCCATCCCCTCCGCATTGACAAAGCTCTGTTTTCATTTTATCCTTTATTTCTCATTTTTCTCTTCTTTTTTTCCTCCTCCTCCATCCTTAGTTCCCTTTCTCTTTTGAACAGTTTCTTCCTATTTCACAATATCTGTTGTACATTTTTGTCCTTAGTTACATTTTCAGCTTGGAGATGCCTCAAAAAATTAGGATTAGAGGTCCCATTCCACCCAGCTATTCCCCTTCTAGGTATCTTCCTGGAAGAATTGAAAGCATCATACCACAGTGATATATGTATACTCCTCCTGTTCATAGTGGCACAATTTGTAGTAGTTAAAACTTGGAGACAGTCCAAATGCCCGTCAACCAATGAATGGATAAAAAATGTGGTTTTAAAAAAAATACGATGGCGTATTACTCAGCCATAAAGATAAAATTAAGACATTTATTCATAGCTAAATGGATGGACCTTGAGACTATAATCACAAGTGAAGTAAATCGTGTACACATGTAAATATCATATTATGTCTCTAGTGTGAGAAAGCCTTTAAAATGCATTATTGTCATATATTTTCATACACATATAAACACATTTTCTGAGTCACGGAAGTTGGGAAGTGCAGCATTGCTGCTAAAAGATTCAGTTCTTCTTCAAAATTTTTTTTTTCATTGAGACAGAGTCTTGCAGTGTAGTTCAGGCTGACCTTGAACTCACTATGTAGCACAAAGTGGCCTCAAATTTGTGGTGATTCTCCTGTCTCAGCTTGCCAAGTGCTAAGATTACAGGCATGCACCACCACACCTGGTCCAAGATTCAGTTCTTGATGATGATTCTCTTTCTCGCTTGCAGATAGCTGTTGTCTTGCTGTGTGCGTACATGTCTTCTTTGTGCTCACAAGAGAGATTCTAGACTTTCCTTTTTATAAAGATACTAATCCCATCATGAGAATTCTAGTCTCATGAATTGATCTCAACACAATTAACTCCTCAGCCCCTACAAAATGATTGTGTGTGTGTGTGTGTGTGTGTGTGTGTGTGTGTGATACTGAGGGTTGAACTAGGATCAACCCTCAGGATCAGGTTACCACTACCTGATATTACATATAGGTTCCATTGTACCCAGCTACAAAATGATTTTTTATGACATTTTTCAGTGTCATATGAGTGTCACTGAGTTATTGTTAAAGCAGATCAATAAAACTAATACAAATTTATGATTATATTTCATTCTAGGCACACTTTCTCCTGAGATTCAACTTGGAGGCAAACTCAGAGAAGACTCACAGCAAATGAATAAAGATAAAATGATGTCCATTCTTACTGAGGATTCAGTATTACAGGTGTGTAGCATGTTGACTGAATACATATTAAAAATCAGAAATGTTACTTCTCAAAGTGGCAAATTGCTAATGATAATTTTCTTTGTGTAGTATTTTGCTTCTTTTCCTAACAGTTTTTACCTCTCTGTTTGCTCTATATTGATGAAGGCTAGTTGTTATAGGTGGGATTAAAATACCTCCCTCATTGCTTTCTTCTTCTGGTTGAATTATGAAAATGAAACAAAGTTTAACATGGGATATGAAAATTGTAAACACCTTCTTCATTTTATGTTAGCAATCAAGTTAAATTAGAAGAAGACACTAAACTGTGTAGTATAACTTGAGATATGACCCACTAAGTTTTGTGAGTATATGTGTGAAAATACATATACACATAACCTACAAATTTTGTTTAAATGCAAGCACTATGGAAAAAAGTAATGTATGTTACCATTTGCCAGTTGGCACTTTGGCATACTTTTCTTAGTCATACAAAGATACCTACTTAACAAAATTGAGAGCATTTCCATAGAGTGATTCTGAGAGATAGTTTAATGTTATAGCCAGGAAGGTTTTGTCTTGGTTACTTTGCTGTCACTGCAGAGACAAAATACCTGATGCTCAAAATGAGGGAAGGAAAAGTGTACTTAACTTACGGTTTGTAGAGGTTTTAACGTATTCTCAGTTGGCTCCAATGCAGAGTGATGTGGCTGAAGGGCAACCATTCATGGTGACTCTAGCAGAAGACCACAGTGCAACAAAAACAAAAGGGGCAAAAGAGAGGAGCAAGCCTGTTTCCTTTCGTTATATTGTATACAGGCTATCTGCTCCAGGGTGAGTGCAGCACTCAAACTGGCAGCCCCAGTACTAGACAATGGACCAGCCACAAAGGTTAGATTCAGCCAACTTCGAGAAGCATGCCCCCATCACCAAATAAGGTTTTGGGAAGACATCCAGACACAAACCATATCATGGTTATTACATAGTTATCTCTGGTAAAAAAGAGAAATTCACTGGTTTTTTTTGAAATCGCTATTTATATTTGGCTTCTAATATGTTTAAAATTTTGCATGGCAACTCAGAGTAAAGAAAAAAATAACATTTTCCTTCTATCTTCAATAACTATTACCAGTCAGTGTAGGCCACCTGTAGAATCAGGTATAAAAGAATGCAAAAGAGCCCTCTACGTACTGGAGATCCAAAGGATCCAGTGAAAAGTCTAGGCCTGGCACTCACTGCAGAGTCCTGTGTGAGTCTGTGTCGCAGACCAAAGAATCTGTGCTGAAAAGCTGAAGAGTCTGTACTGACAGCCTGGAAGTGGGCATCCAAAGGGAATGGAGAAGACTGGAGCTTCTCTGAAGAAACAGAAGCAAGACTTCCTTCTTTTTCTTTTTATTACCCCCAGCTGCAAACCTTTTGGTTAGTGCCACTAATACCTGAGGAGTGGGTCTACCATTCAGTCATATCTAGAACTATGCTAAACCAGTCAACTGGGTGTTTTTTTTTTTTCTTCACATCAACACCTAAGGTAATTGTCACAGTAACTGTAAAATGAGACACATTTTTCCACTTGCTTTGTAAGCATTTGCTGTGTAATTGTCACACCAGGCCCTCAATTGTACCTTAGTGCATGGTTCTGAATACTGTCAAACTGCTGACTATTTTCAAAATAGGGATTGCTAGACCTGTACTTGGATAGAATTTGGCAATGTATATTTTTAAAAACCCTTCTGAGTAATCTCTGGTAGTCAGCTGGAACAGTTGCTTAGATTATTGAAAAGTTAATTAATCAAGAGGACTTGCAGAGTTAATGAATGTGTCATTCAGAAGTTTATCATCAGATGGTAAATAAGTCATCTGATATGTTATGGCTTATATCTATATGTCCCCCCCAAAGCCTCATGTGCTCATTGGTGTGGCTTTGGGGAAGTGGCTGTATGTACAGTGTTGTGATAATTAAATTGGTTTACCATGGTTCTTATCTGATTGTAAATAATGGAAGGCCCAACATGGGTGTGGATGGTATCAACCAATAGACTTATAGCCTGAATGGAATATAAAGGGACAGAAAAGAAAGCGGCTGCTTCTTGCTGCTTCCTGCCTGCCCTCTTATATACTTTTTCCCCTGCGATGTCCTTCTCATGCTGCTCTGCCTCGGAGCCAGCCAACAGTATGGAAAACACTACAGACTGTTTATTTTACAATAAACCTTTCCTCCTTTAACTTGTGAATATTGGATATTTTTTTTTTTTTTTTGTCATTGTCTTTTTCGTTTTTATCGGTACCAGGGATCAAACTCACGACTGCCTGCTTGCAAGGCAGGCGCTTATGTCACTGAGCTAAATCCCCAGCCCCAAATATTGATATTTTGTTCCAGCAACAAAGATGTAACTAAGACATGGTGATTATGAGTTTGTTTTAAAATTAGGATGAGAAGAATAAATGAAGTACTTAATATTTGTCTCTCTTTTCACTCATTGGAAAACTAGATTTCCCTTACATCCTTGCTTTCTTTTCTGTCTACAATAAAAATTAGACAGTGTAACATTATTTAAACATCTGTTACAATTGTTAGTATCATTTCCTAAATTGACATGTTGCTACTTTCATCCACTTTTTATGTTTATTCTGTGACAATAAACTGTTTGAAATTTATGAGAGAAATTGATTTTGTCAACTATAGAAGTGTAAAGCTCTGAGACACTTTCAAGTTACTTGAAAGAAAAGATACATCTGTATAACAAAGCAGATTTCTAAATAAATTCTAGTTACTCAGATTTGTAAATAAATTCTACCTAACGACTGAGATACCAAGTGACATTTCAACCTCAAAAGAGTATTTTAGAATTAATGTTCTGTTTCAAATAAGGATAAATAACACAAAATTAGAGATTTTTGTCTTGATTTATACCATGCTAATTTTTTAAATTCAGGCAAAAGAATTTTATATTTATTATTTTGGGAGAGGGTCTCATAATACCTTTTCTAGCTTTTACATGTGTTTTTAATTTCTTACAGTTTTAAAATTTTATGTGGATAAATTTTTATTTTCTTTGGAGAATTTAGTGATATATTGGGAAAGATGATTGAAAACATTGAATGTCAAAACAGTATATTTTATGGTTAATTTTGTATGTCAACTTGGCTCAGCTATGGGATATCCAGGTAATTGCTCAAATATTCTTTGATGATGTTTAGATGAGATTAGCATTTAAATTAGTGGTCTTCAGTAATTTAATGCCTTTCATCTTGTGGTGGGCTTCATGCAGTGCTTGTTTCAGGGAGAGGGAACAAGTGGGAAAAAGAATTCTTCAGAAAACTGCATTTGAATTTCATCAGAATCATCAGCTTTTCTGTGTTTTTGGATTTTGGTCTTCAGACTTCATCTGTATCATCAGCTATTCTGGTTGTCTGCCAGCTTTCAGATTATAATGCACCTTTGGCTCTGTGTATCTCAAACCTGATAGCCTACTGCAGATTTGGGCTTACAATCCATAATTGCAAGGGCCATCTCATTATAACAAATCTGTTTTTCTGTACACATATCATATTGGTATTTTTATCTGGAGATCCCTCAATAAAGAGTAGATATTTCTAGTCCCATAAACAAAGATCATCTGTAAGATGCTGGTTTGACAGGGAATAATTATTATTCAATCTTGCAATAATTTGAGCATGCCAATACTTCCACCTTTTTGCTCTCTGAAATACAGGACTTTTTTTATGTGAGAGATGTGAATCTAGGTTGAATTCTTCTCCTTTCTGCAGCCTCTTTTATTCATTCTTACTGGTTTTGAAGGTGGAATCAGTGGAGTTGTTTGATAAACATGTAATAGAAGAAGGATAAAGGTAGGAAAGACCCAAGTTTATGGAGAAATTGTATATATATGCATGCCATATGTTGTAACATACCTATTGGTATTAATATCTTTACCTAATTAGTCGTGCCTTACTTGTCCTATATCTGATCATTACCTTTAATGATCATTTTGACTTTGGGGAAAGCCAGGAAGTTGTATAGTGCTAGATCCAGTGAAGAAGGTGTGTTAAGACCCTATAATATTTCTATAAGTCCTTATTTCTGTCGAATGGCACCTGACAGCAGCATTCATTGTTTCTGATTATACCTTGTAAAGATACTCACAAAAGAGGACTTCCAGGCCTGTCCCAGAAAATGGCAAGAGTAATGGGGTAAGAATGTTCAAAGTGAGAGGGTATATTTTGAGGGAAATTAATGATATTATGTGTTTTACTGTGATATTTTTATAATTCAAACACTATTTTTAGATAGTACTTGGTATACCCTGTTGAATTAACGTTTGAGAATTTTAGGTTTATTTGATGAAATTCCTTCTTATCTGTGGGTCTCTTGAGTTTCATAAAGTCTGAGAGTAATAATAGTAACAATTCTTTTTATAGTGATGAATGTTAGTATGCTCTAAAACCTTAAAATGGAAGCATTTTATCAGTCAATTTCATCTTTACTTGAAACAGACACAGTGATTTCAGATTTTCTGACATAATTTGAGAACTTAGCAAAGTTAATGTATCATTTAATGTTATTAGCATTAAGGTTGTATGATTTCTGATCCTTGGAGATAGTAGTATAATTTACAGCTTGACAAAATGGTACTTTAGAATCTTGAGTCATGAAGAAAGGAAAAACTAAGACTAAAAAAGGAGCACTCAATTTTCTCTTCATTTAAGAGTTACAACTTCTTTTTAGAAGAGAGTTTAAGACAAAGACCCAGGGGCTAAAAATAAGCAACTCTTGGAAGAAAACATAGGTGGAGAGTATCATGACATTGAACTTGACAGTGATTTATTTCTCTAATATAATGCCACAAAGAATAGATGAGTTAGACAGTGAAAATGAAAAAGTTTTGTGTATTAAGAGATCTTATCAACAGAGTAAGAAGGATTTTACTCTGTGTTATAGGAGTAAACATTTGCAAATACACCTGATAAGAAATAGATACCCAGATAAAGAATTTTTACAATGCACCACCAACAAAAAAACCCCAAACCAACTAAAAAATAGACAAAGGGGTCCAATAGGTATTTAATCAAAGAAACTGTGTAGATGACCAATAAACACATGAAAAGATGCTCAATGTCATTAACCACTAGGGAAATGCAAACAAAACCACTTTGAGATACCATTTTGCTTTATTTTGTTTTATTTCATTTTACGAACAACTTATTTAAAAAGAAATAGAATGTAAGTATTGGCAAGGGTGAGAAACACTCACTTGCTCTAAAGTGAAAGTGAAACTTTGATCTTGGTGCAAGGCCTGGTATCCCCTAGATTGCAGGCACACCAGAAGGATTACAATAAGCTTTTCATCCCTGAAGTGCAAGTCTCCATTGGTTCCTCATTAGCTGAGTAGTAGGAATGAACAGTCATTCTAGTTGTCTCTCAAATCTCCTTGTCATCCCTTATCCCTTCCTTACCGCCTTCTTCCCTTGGCTAATGGTTATGTTTTTCAATAGAAGATGCTTTCTTGTTGATTTTATTCCTTCCCCAACATTCTTTTGAGGTGCATGAGCCATGCAGTTTGTCACATCTTTGGCTATTAGCTACTAGTATTTTTCACTCAGCTAACTTCTTTGGATTGAAAATGAACCATGTTGTGTTTCTCACAGTAAAGATGTGAAATTGAAACATTTTATTTTAGAAGTAGAAATGTAAAATGGTACAGCCATTGTGGAAAATATTATGGTGGTTTCCTCATTAAACAGTAAAATTACTGTGTAACTCAGCAGTTCCTCTTCTGAGTATATACTTGAAAGAAGTGAAAGCATGAACTTAAAGAAATATTGGTACATTTACATACATTGCTATTTTGTTTACAACAGCAGAAAAGGGCAGAAATACTGCAGAGGTCCATCAGTGACGAAAGGATAAGTAAAAATGTAGTACATACCTGCAAAGGAAAGTTATTCTGCCTTAAAAAAGGAAGAAATACTGATACATGCTACAACATGGATGAATCTTGAAGATGTAGTGGTATCTTGGTTTATGAACTTAATTCATTCTGTGATTGCGGGAAAGATGGCTATGATCATGTTTGTGAAAGAATGATGGCTGTGGGCATGTTCATCACCTGATGCAGAGTTCACATACAAAGTTTTGCCAAATGCCTCAGTTTACAAACCAGATTGTTCATTAATGAATGCATCCATGAACTGAGGTACCATGGTATGTACTATATGATATATGTTGATCAAAAATGATGAAATATTGTATGATCTTCTTAAGTCTGTTTTGCTCAGCTTAGTTTGCTCTTTGCTGACCAAATCAAAGGAGGTTAGTTATTTTGCTAAAAAGAAAAAAGGATTTTTCAAAGCTCGATGCAAGGAGGTGGAGAGTATCTCACCACCCAAATCACCATTTCAAGGTATGCAGATACATTAAGGTCTATTATAGCAAGAAACAGTTGGAAAGGGAAAAAAGTGAGGCAGTAGTTTTTTTTAATTTTCAAGAGAAACCCAACAAAACAAAACAGAATAAAGCCAATCAAAACAAGGCTGTGAAAGTGGTACAGAACTTCAAAACAGGATAATAGGAAATCAACAATGGCTACCATAGTATATCTTTCTATCTCCACAGTAGTTGTCCATACCATCAGACATGGCAAAATAAAACAAAACCAACCAAAATGTAATATTGAATAAAATAAAACTATAAATTGGAACAAAACAAAGTAATACTGCACATTGTCATCTTCAAAATATTTGCTCAAGTTACCAGATACAGAGATAAAACAGTAAAATGGAACAAAACATTGGATTTCAAAAATAAGACTGGAGGAAATCCCCCATAGTTGACACAATGCACACTGCCATCCTCCAAGTAGATGCCCAGACCAACAGCCCAGGCCTGCAGAGTCAGCCAGACAATACAAGCATCAAGGTATTACTTTTCCTAGTTGCTGAGTCCCTAGAATCTGTGTGTGTGGTGGGGGGTGGGGCAAAGGGAACGCTTTTCTGGTTTTTCAGCTGCACACCCGCTGGCTCATGGAAAAGTGTGGTTTCTCTTCTGACTGAGGCTCTTACACACTAGTGTGGTAGAGCCTGCTTTACAGGAAGGTATGGTTTCTTTTCTGGCTGAGGCTCTTACCCATCAGTGTGGCAGAGCCTGGTTCATGAGAAGGAATAGTTTTTCTTCTGATTGAGGTTTTTTTCCCATCCTCAAGGTGGATCCTGCTTCACAGGAAGGCTTGGTTTCTCTTCTGGCTGAGGTCCGTACTGGTCAGCAGCAGCAGAGCCTGCTTCCTGGGAAGATGTAATTTCTCTCTTGGCTGAGGCTGATTCTGATCAGAATGGTGTGGCTGGCTTCACTGAGGCAATAGATTTGTCCAGGCTTGTTTCATCTCTCTCTGTCCCCAGACTGCCTCCTTTCCCTGTGGAAATGAAACTGGTATTTTGATGCCTCCTGCTGGATCCATTAGAAAGATGATTGCCTCTTGTGCATGATAAGTAAAATGTTGCAAGTATACACCCAGTGGTAGAAAGAAAAAGCACTTGTATTTGTTGAAGATAATGGGAAGATTTGCTTATGACAGGTCCATGTCAGCAGAAACAAAAAGGATGGCACAAACAGAAAAATAGTGCCAGTGCAATATGAAAATAAAGAGTCCAGTGCACAGAAACATGAGGCTTTTGAATTTTAAAAGATGTGCACCCCAGCCTGAGTACCTCTTATTTAGTCTCTTGGAATATTGACAGGAGTGATTGTGACAGAGTGCTGAGTCACCTCAAAGGCTTTCAGTCAGCATGAATGTCCTAGAGTTCACGCCGATCAAATTACTTATACGAAGGGACTGGGGATTTAGCTCAACGGCATAAGCGCCTGCCTTGCAAGAGTGTGGTCCTGAGTTTGATCCCTGGTACTGGTAAAAATACAAAATACAAAAAAAAAAAAAAAAAAAAAATTTCTTATACGAGATGCAGTTCATATTTACTAATCTTTAACAAGGTTGGAGTGGAGAAAAAGGTCAGGTGAGGAGAGATTTAATACATATGCGCTCTGGCCTAGAGCCTCGGAGGTTTCTTGGGTCTTTGTAATTGTGCAGTAAGTCCCTGATTTGCATTTGAGTTGTGAACTTTCACAGGTAGAAATGAACATTTATAGATGTAAACAGATTGCATAAGTAGCTCCCATGTCTGCTGGACAGTGTCATAGTTGTGCTGCTGTGTGCTTATTGTATAGTGTGATAGTGTACAGTAGTACAGTGCTCAGTCAGAGACCGGGATGCCCAGAAGCAAGAGGATGAGCAGTGGTGATGTGGAGGAGGGGACTGCTAGGATACACAAAACAACGTGCATTGTATATTTGTATCCAAGGTGTAGGAGACTCACTTTGTTGGACTTACAAATGAACCTGACTCATGAATGTTTTCCTGGAATGAAGCTCATTCATTCCTAAGTTAGAGACTTACTGTATTTTTGCCCTCTCAGAACAATGAAAGAAGGATTTGCTGTGGGGTAATCCCAAATTCAAGTAACCCCCATTATGCCACTATAGTACCAGATGTTGTGAGTACCTACATATTCTGTCCATTCATTTGAGCTGAGGAGAAGCAGGCATAACAGTTTAGACTTGATTTAAGAAAGTTTGAAGAAGCTACTTGTCTCTAAAGGAAAAAAACCCTAACTTTTAGTTTCATTTTGCAATGCTGGTTACACTCATGCAATATTCTTACATGCACAACATGGTGATTGCCATGGATGAGGGTCAAAGGTAATGGGTATTTTTTATTTAACCTATATTGAATTTTAGTTTGGGAAGATGAAAAGTCCTAGACATAATCATGGTAATGGTTTCACAACAATGTAAATTAATACGATAAAACTGTACACTTAAAAACTATTAAGATAGTAAATTTTAAATGTGTTTACTGTAACAAAAATGTTAAGAGTGACATAATTTTAAGTGTTAATTTTTTGGACTGTTCCACAAGATTAGCACATATCAGTTGGGGAAAGAAAAGAAAAAACAGAAAAAAACAAAATGATTTTTCTTTTCAGCAACCTCAAGATGACACAACACAAAATCAAGGTGTATTACAGTAAGTACACACATTTTTGCCTTTATTGCATTGTGGAGTTTTTGGGTTATAAAATTGTTATATTATTGAATAATTACCTTTGGTAGCGTAAATATCTGTTGTTTTATAAGTGTTCTAATTAAGTTTTACTTCATAAAAAAGATTGAATCAGATTAACTTGATTCTGTCTATTAATATTGCTGAAAGCAATTTATGGCATAGCATAAAGGAAGAATTTGTTGAGTTTACTAAAATTAGTGTAACTATTGTACTTTAACAGAGTTTATTCTTTCAATTCTTTTAAGACAATGTTTCTCAAAGCGTGGTCTAACATTCCTTGGGAGTTCCTGAGATTCTTTTATAGAGCCTATTAGGTAAAAACTGTTTTCATAATGTTACTAACATTATTTGTCTGTTTTCATGGTATTTATCTTTGCACTGACACTATAAAGCAATAGTGGGTAAACTGCTAGAGCCTTAGTAGGAATCAAAATGTTGGCACCAAACATACTAGTAGTCATCTTGTATTTCATACATACTAGCTTAAAAAAGCCAGTTTCACTAAAGGCTGAGTTTGATAAAGCAGAAAAATTATACTTTATATCCACATTCACCTTTGAGTATGTATCTTTTTAATATTCTGTGTGATAAAAAAGGAAGTATGCTTAAAGCATCTTGATGCTGAATAAAGTTTGAAATAGTCTTGAGGAAGGTAGAAATGCACTTTTATGAGCTATAAATATTGTAAGAAAACTAATTTTCCTTTTTATAATTGACAAATTGGTGATTCATTGTTGGTTGTATGGCAGACATTTTCTTGAAAATGAAGTAAGCTGGTTACTTCAAAGAAAACAGATAGGAACACAGAAATTGAAGCTTTCAAGTTAGAATGTTAGAAAACTTGTGTGCACCATTTCACCTCAATAGTTTTCCAATTTTCAGATTTTCTGACTAGAACACTGGTAAAATTTACAAAGGTGATTTAAAATAAATTAGATCCCTAGAACTCAGTACTTCTAATAGATCAGCCAGTGTATGAAGTTACAAAATCATGCACAGATAAAAGATCCATTCAGATTTGAGAAGGACCATCGTGAACAACATAAGAAGTTCATAAGGTTTTTTTCCAGTTTCTACTTTTTAAGCAACTTTAAGAATCCTATAATGTGTAGAATTTTGGTGTAATACTAGTATTGACTATCCATGCTTATTCAAAAAGGCTGATAAAATACTCTTCCTTTTTTCAACTATATGAAATGTATATTGATAGGTTTTTAGCCATATAAATCTGCCAATCATCATGGTGAAGGTTCAGCATGGTGAGGAGACCACTAAAACAAGACACCTTACCAGTCTTTTTCCTCTAGTGCTCCAGATCCAAAATAGACTTCCTGCCTTTCCTTCTCTCTTGTGATAAAGGCACTCCATTCCCTAGATAAAATGTCACTCCTGCTCCACCGTCACCAGCTAGGTTAGCACCACCACAATGAGTTAATGTAAACAGCCCCCAGCCCTTTGTCTAGCAATTTCTCTGTAGCCCTGTGCCCCCTCATTAAAGGCCTCTTCATACTTTGTCTTCTTCTTATCTGTCCTGGGCTGCTTCAGATTGAGAGCCAAAAATATTAAGTCATATATGATGCCAGCTTTTTGTCACATTATTCAAACAAAACAATACTTGGCAATAGATTAAATGCAATAGCGGGTATAAGATGATAGCTGTCTTCTATTAAGCCAAATAATGTAGCGATTATTTTTTAAAATATGAAATATTTAAATTTTCTCACTGAGTTGTTTTTTCATTTGGGAAAATATAATTTTTTGTAAGAATATGTAAATATATAAGTCATGTTAAAATCAACAAATATTTAAACTTTCCTGTAATTTTTATATTTAAATATAAATAAATATAAACCACAGAAACAAAAGCTCTTTCTGATCCTCAGTGATTTTAAGAGTATAGAGAAAAAATTTACAACCATTGTTATAAAATAACCTTCTTACCAATATATTAGCAATATAAGCTAGTTAACAGAAGTGGAAAAAAGATCAAGGATGATTATATGATTCCTTCTCTCTCACTTTTGGGCAATCAATCCTGAGGTGGCACAGAGAAAATGAGAGAAAAGACAAAGATGAAGAGGCTTTTAATGTGGACACAGGAGAGGCTGCAGAAAGGAAGGGGTGCAAGGGCTTTCAGCGAGAACAAAGAAGTGGAACTACTTTTATCAGTTTTGGCCCAGGGAGGAGTTTGGGAGGTGGGCAAAAGGACATATTAACAGCTGATTTGAAGGAGCATTTGCCTGTGCAAAATAGGAAACAGAAAGGTTTACTGGGGGCTTGGGATTGGAAAGGGCTTGGTGCACTGCAAAAAGGAATCTGGAATGAGAAAAAATATATAGAAGTTACTGGTGGAGTGATAAGTTGCTTCTCTGGGTCTGGTACCAAGTTGGGTGGGTATTGTGTTACAGATAACTAAACCCTAGGCTACCAGGATTGCTCTATTCTTTCTCTTTTTCTCTCTCTCCCTCTCTTTTTTCTCCCTCCCTCTCTGTCTCTCTCTCTCTCTGTGTGTGTGTGTGTGTGTGTGTGTGTGTGTGTGCTTTTGCTCATGGTTTCTAAATAATTGGGATCATCCACAAATTTGTGTCTTGTTTTTAACTTTTAACTTTGTTTTTAATAATTTCTCATAGTTATTTTCACAGATCATTATTGTTTGTAAACACATGAATTTTAATGACCTCATAATTCACTGTATGATTGACTGTGATACCAAATGGTAGATCCAACAGATAGATTCCAGGCTCTTTTGTATGATGAACAAAAAATGGCAAGCATATACCCAATGGTAAAAAGAAAAAGCAGGTATATTTATTGAAGATAACAACATCCAGGCTAGGCCAATGCCTGCAGAAATAAAATGTTTGGCACAAATAGAAAAACAGTGTTGGGGCAACAGGAAGATAAAAAGGTACAGCACACAGATAAATCAGACTTTTGGATTTTAAAAGATGTGTATTCCAGCCTGGGTGCCTCTCATTGGATATGATTCATAGGGTGCTGAGTCATCTCAGGGGCTCAATATCATGCACATGGGTTCCACATTTTACCCTAATTTAATTTTATACCTGAGATGCATTCCATGTATATGAACCTTTAAAGAGGTTTGGGTGGGGAAAAGGTTACTTAGGCCAGGGGCTCTAACTTGCATATATTCTGGCAAGGAGATTCAGAGATTTCCTGGATCCCTGTTATTTTATTTACTACTTCTCTCAAAATAATGGAAGTGGGATTGGCTCTGGGGTATTGCCCAAATTCAAGTGGTTGGAGAGGAGAATCCTCCAAACCCAGGTGTGCTATCTGTACTAACTATATTGTGCAACTTGTTTAATCATTCATCTGTAATTGGACATTTAGATCATATGCAGTCTTGTCTACTATAAGTAATTATTTAAAATGACTTAGATAAAACTTGGCTGTATTTTCAGACTTGTATAAATTGCAGTTCAATGAAAAAAATCTTACTGGTTCACACTGTGCCTTTATTTTGTTTTAGGTCAGCTTGTTTTCAAAGAACCACATTTTTGAAAATGGTCAACATTGTTTTCTATTTGCCTCAGAAATTATCATTCCAAATGAGTAATTTCAGTTTGCAAGATAAGTTACATTGATTCCATTTTTTCAGCCGGAAAGAATGCTCAGTTTATTATTCTAGTTTGAGATTTAGGTGTCTAAGCCTGGTGCATAAACACTGCTCTTAAAACATCTGAAGAAGAGGCAGTTTTTAAAAATAAGGTGTCTTAATTCCATCATTGCAGCGAATTAGGTTGAAAAAATAGCCGATTGTCTTTCTTCAATAAACTCATAATTATCTAAAGGTGGAGAATCAAAATTACAAATTAGGCATGGACTTCACTTTGCTTTAAGCCTCTTTGTTTTTATATTTTTGCCCTTTCTTACCCTGCTGTGAATATCTGAGAAAGTTCTCATTAGTGACTTTCACTTATATCTAAAACTGTAATACTTACATACAAAACTATGATAATAAGTTGTGTTTAAGGATGTAGAAAGCCAAGCTACACTATCTAGTACCATTTTCTCCTTGATCCTGTTGCCAGATTTTGAGACTAGAGAGACCAGTGGGTGAAAGAGGAAAATTTCATGTCCACAGACAGAGCCCCAAACAAAGGGCTCTAGTTTATGCAAGTGGTCTGTCTAGTGGTGTGAAACTGGTAAGTGGGCAAGCAAGTTTACAGAAGAGACAAAAGCAGTTAACCAAGGGACAGTTTTGTAATTTAGCAGCAGCCACAGAGGGGAAAGTTTAAGGAGGAACTGCTTAAGATTGAGGAAACTTGTTTTCCTTTTTAAGATTTGCTTAAACCCCACTATCTGTCATAGAGCCATTTTTAAGTTTGCTTTCAGACATATTTTAGCTTGTTTATAAACCTGAGTTCACCCATTAGTTTTTCAATTCTGCCCTTCGTTTTTGCAGTTATTTGAATCATAAATGTTCAATTGATACTAGTTAGTAAAGATTGAAATAATATAGCCAAAAAAGAGGTCTTATTTGGAAAGTTTTTAAATTTTACTTTGGGAAGTAGTTTTTTCTTTCTACTTAATAGTTTATTTTTATTATTTTGACTTTTTAGGACTGGAAACAATTTTGCAGTGTTCACTGTGTCATCTCCCCAGGCTGGACTTTCATTGGAGGAGCAAAACATTGAAGGTAAGTGTACAGAGTAAAGGTATATAAAGAAAATTTGTTTTTGCATAAAGAGATTAACTATATATGGATTTGTTATTTATTTATTATATAGAGTGGGCCAGTGTACATTTAAAATATAAAATCAGTATTGCTTTTTTTGGTACGGGGGATCAAATTCACAACCTCGTACTTGCCAAGCAGGTGCTTATGCTGCTGAGCTATATCCCAGGCCCCAAAACCAGTATTGCATTTGACCTTGGATTGTTCTGCTTGTAGTTTTCCTTGGGAGAAATAGGTCAGTTGCCATCAGAACCTGCTCCAAATCTCTGCTATTTTCAGTTGTGACTTTGAGACTTAAATTTGATTTTAAAAAAAGTGTTTTTTCTGTTTATAATATTAATATGTATATCATGGTTTGCTTGACTGGTAATTACACAAGCCAGTTTTACTTTTGTTTGTTTTATTAGCAAATAATTGTCCTTTTTTGAGGTGTCTCTTACAGATTAAATTTTTGTGTCACAGTAAATATTTGTAGTGGTCTGTGAAACTATGTGTTATATAAGGAAAGAATATTAGTACATGTTAAAAAATTGACAAAGATAATTTTAAAAGCTCTGTTTTTTGCTTTGTATTACCACTTATGTTCATCACCATTCTATTATGCTTTCCTAATGCCTAGGTTTTGGTCTATAAAACTTACCATTATTTTTTGAGACAGCATCTCACTATGTATGTTAGACTGGCCTTGAACTCATAGCCTTCCATACCTGCTTCAACCTTCTGAGTGCTTGAATCACAGACATGTTCCACCATACATGGCTTGTTCGTTTTTTTTTTTTTTTTTTTTGGTCTTTTTCATTTTTATCGGTACCGAGGATTGAACTCACGACTGCCTGCTTGCAAGGCAGGTGCTTATGCTGCTGAGCTAAACCCCCAGCTCCCGGCTTGTTCATTTTTTAACAAGTATTTACTATGAGTACTAAGGGTACTGTGGTTGTTGGAGTTCTAAATAAACCAAGGATCCTTAAAGGTAGCTAATCTGTCTTACAGAATCAGTATATCAGGATAAATCTGAACCATCATGTCATTTCTGAAAAGCAAGAACATTTTATAATGTCTGGGGCGGGGCTGACAAAATAAAGACCTAGCTCATTGTTATTTTTACTGTCTTGAGCTGTGACACGTTAAGTAGGGGGAAGAATAAGTTTTAGTTCGTGCAAGTAAGTTTGTGAAAATATGTGTTCATGATAATACTCAGCAAATATTAAAAGTATACAAAAGCTCATCTCAGTACAAGAATAAAAATGTCTTTAAAAAGCCAGAATCTGTTAATATATGTGCATTTTATTTTCTTAAATATATGCCTATATGTAAAGTATAGGACATTTTTGTTTATGATTGTATAAATAGAGACAAGAAAACAGAACTATGAATAAATCAAGTAGTATTAGAAGTAAGAATCAAACTAAAGAGGGGAAGGATCACCTCTGCAATATCAACAGTAACACATAAAAAAACATATAAGAAGTGAGGTCTGATATGTCCTAAGATTATAAATACATGGTATCCAGTTAAGGAAAATTTTCTATAGTGGCTCAACCCTGCATCTCTTAAAAGTTTTAAATGGCCCTCTGGAAAATTTTCTATAGTGGCTCAATCCTGCATCTCTTAAAAGCTTTAAATGGCCCTGCTTATGATGATAAAGTACTAAGTATATGTTTACAGTAATAAGAGAATAGATCAATGTATAGTAAAGGAGAAATAAGCTTTTCTAACACAGCCAAATAAAAGTTAAAATTCTGGGACAAAAATTAATAAAAAATAACTGAACTTCAAGGTGTTAACTTGGTAAGCTAGCTAGATAATTGACTACTCAGGTTTTAATCCTTTTGGGAGAAATAGTCCCATGTCCCATCAAAAGGTCAGATAGTTAACAACCCACATCCTGTCTCCTCAACTGGTAAAAAAATTACTTGTTTTATGATTGATATAATTTATGTAATCCTGGGGAGGTACAAACATAACTATTGGTTTATTTTGTATGGGAAAACATGTATTTAGAATTAGCCAGGTAGAGTTGGTTTACTGCTCCTGGTGTTGTTGCAATATCCAAAGTGTCATGATCTGAAGCCAATTTGAAATACGCTCCCTTCTCCTAAACAGGCCTGATCAGAATATTGACCTTGGCATACTGATGTCCTAGAACTTCTTCACAAACCTGTGTGATCTGGGGCTTGTTGTATGTTGTTGTCTTTCTTTGCAGATTCATGGAGGCACTTGCTGGTGATATAGTGGTTAAATTTGTTTCACCTGAGGATACTCTCCTGGGAATATTTGGGCTCCCACTGCAGTGTCTGTGCTGCTTGGAATATGGGTGGCATGTGGATCTCTTTTTGCTTCTTTCCTGTGACTGCTTTCAGTGGTTTTCTTGACCTTCAAAGCTTTGACTTTGAGAGAGGGTAGGACTGTCCTTCTTCATTTCTGGTAATCTCTTAGTGAATAAGATCCAAAGTAAGTATAACTTTACTCTTTAGAAGTTATAGGATCAAGAATAAAAATAATTAAGAATGATTATCAATGTAGTTATATTAATGTGTGAGCAGTAATAAATTGTACAACCACTAGTGTGTACCTTTTCTTTTTCCTAAATTTTTATTATGCATATTTGCTGTGCATAATAATTACATTCATTGTGGGGAGCTGGTATGTATACATGGCACATCTTAATCTGTTTTATATTCCCATCTCTTCCCCTTCCTCATATCTTGGTCCTCTTTCCATTTGCAAAAGGTCTATCTCTGTTTGCTATTATTTGTCTTTTATTTTGCTCTTTAAATTATTTGTGCTTTGACTTTCTTATATGAGAAATCATGTGAAATTAAGCTTGTGTGTCTTGATTTTTTTACTCAGCATTATTATGGTACATGCATTTTCCTACAAATGACTTAAGTTTATCTTTATGGTACAGTACCACTGTATTCATAAAAGTGCATTTGGTTTATATGGCTGATGGGCATAAAGGCAGCTTCCAGTATTTGACTATTCTAAGTTGTAGTCCTATATATGTGAACATACATTAGTATAACATGAAGTCTTTGACTCTTTCAGGGAGATGCCTAGATGGGAAGTAACTAGGTTGAATAGAATTTCTAGTTTTAGTTTTTTGAGGAGTTTCTATACTGATATCCATAGTGGTTGTCCTAAGTTCACATTCCCACTAACAATGTGAAAAGGTTCTTTTATTCCCAAAACCCTTTCAACATTTATTATTTGATTTTTTAAAAACATTTTTCATTTTTATGACAAAAAGAAAATATTTTTCATAACCAAATAATAAGAGAATAACTATAGTTATTATACTGTATATCATCTTTAAAGTATTTATTCAGTATAAGACATAAACCAAAAAGATTCTTTAAAAAAAGAAGCATAACAGGAAAAAGTTTCTTGTCAGTGAACTAAGGAAACAATTAGTATAAATGGGACAATTTAGGATACATGCTGAAATGTTTTTAAGACAATGGAATGTGTAACTTGAGGAAGTATTTGAATTTCTACTTCCTATTTCTCTTCAGTTTTTCTGTATATATATATATACACTCACATAAGAGAAACCATGTGATATTTGAACTTGTGTGTCTTATTTCACTTAGCACTATGTTCTCAAATCACATCCATTTGCCTATGAATGTCCAAAGTTTATCTTTCTTTATGATAATGTAATATTCCATTGTGTTATAAATAATACATTTTTTTGGTCCATTTATGTCCCTGTTTCCAAGACCTTGCTATTGAAAATTATGCTGCTATAAACATGGATATGCACGTATCCTTGTATTAGGCTGATTTGAACTCTTTTGAAAGATACCTAGGAGTTGCATAGCTAGGGCAAATGGAATTTCTACTTTTAGTTTTTTAAGGAATCTCTGCACTGATATCTATAGAGACTTACATTCCTACCAAAGAGTTCCTTGTCCCCCTTGTCCTCACCACTGTTTGTTATAGTATCAGAGTTTTTGATAATAGTCCTTTTTTTCTGGGGTAAGCTGGTATCTAAGAATGGTTTTAATTTGTTTTTCCCTGGTGGAAAATGTTGTTGAACATTTTTTATGTATTTATTGGCCCTTTGTACTTCTTCTGAGGAATGTTTATTCATTTTGATTGCCCACTTTATGATTGGATCTTTTATTTGAGGGGTCTAATATTTTTCAGTTCTTCATATATTTCTGATGTTAACCTGTAGAATAACTGGAAAAATTTTTCCCCATTCTGTAGGTTGAGTGATTACTTTCTTGATTGTTTCCTTTGCTTTGCAGAAGCTTTTTACTTTTATATGATCCCATTTGTAAATTTTGGTATTATTTCTTGTGCCATTGGATTTTTTTTCAGAAAGTTGTGAAACCATCTTTCATAATTGATGGCCATACTTAAAACATGATCAACATTCCTCACATAACTAGAAAAAACAATCTTAGAATTCATATAGAACTAGAAGAGACTGACTGATTACAGTAAAAGCTTTCCTGGGCAGCAGCAGCAAAACACGAGGTATCACACTCCTGGATTTCAACTAATACTGCAAACCTACTGAGATCTAAAACACACAAACAAACAAACCAATAAAAGTAAACCAGCATATATTGGCACAAACAGCCACGTTAATCAAGGGAACAGAAATTGAAGATGCAGAAACAAGCCAAGGACATTCACCTATCTGTTCTTTGACAGCGAACCCAAAAACACGTTGGAAGGAAGATAACCTCTTTAACAAGTGGAGTTGGGAAAACTGGCTACATGCAGAAGTTTTTATCAATCGTGATAGGTAGTTTTGCATGATTTATTAGTCTGGGACAGCAAGGTTTTTTATTTTTATTTATTTTTATTTTACTTTATTTTTTTTTATCAGGCTCTTCTGGCCTTAAAGGATGGTGTGGAGATTTCTGCTATAAAAATGATTTGCCATGCAAATGATTTGTTGTTTTTCTCTTTTAAAATTCTATCCTTGTGTTGGACTTTATATG